TCCCAGTATGCACCAAAAGTCATGCAAGGAAGGACAACCAGTGGACCAGCTTCAGGGTCATGGAGACCCAAGGCTCATTGATGAGTGGAGGCTAGCCCATCTAGTCCATTGTGCCCTGGCATTCATGTGGATGTCACTTTGACACATACCACCTACCTATAGATTGTTGCAGACCACATATACTCCTTCATGGCAATGGTATTCCCTGATTTCAGTGGCCTCTTTCAGTAGGATAAGGCACCATTCAGGAATGGTTTCAGGAACATGGCAAAAAGTACAAGATGTTTCTTTGTCTCTAAATTTCCCAGATCTCAATCCAATTGAGTTTCTTTTGGTGTGCTGAAACAACAAACCTGATCTATGGGGCCCTCCACCTTGCATCTTTCCAGACTGAATCTGCTGCTAATGTCTTGGTGCCAGATACCACAGGACACATTCAGAGGTCTTGTGGAGTCCATGCCTCAATGCATCAGAGCAGGTGGTTTTAATGCTGTGGCTAATAAGTGCATGTACTTTAGGGATTTGATACTTTATTAGATTTGAGATTCTGATACATTAGTTTGTACTTTCAACTAAATTTGTGGCTGCCAAATGTCCTTGGTCCAGTGGTGGTAGTGGTGATATTGGTCTCCTTTTTCATATTACAGTTTTTGTTGTTGTTATTTGTAGTGGGGACACTGGAGAAAAATGACTTCACAAGTTAGTTACTAAAAACATGAATGCCGATCAAGGTGATTCCATGGCAGTGCTGCCCATACATGAGTGCTTCAATGTTTACCAACACATGGGCATTATCTGGTAGAATGTCTTCATGACAATGTGCATACTAGGAGGGGATAGTGCCGTTCTGACTTTATTACCAGGGGTCTCGCTTTTGGGGACACCAGAGAACTGTCCCCATAAAGTGTAGAGAGAGTGCATCATTAGACGCACTCAGGACTACGTTACTTTCAGCGGTATCTGCATGGTCTGCCCTTAGTGGGCTAGCCTGTGTAATTGGTGCATAGGACCATTGTGAATGCCAAGCTGACCTTCCTATTCTGTGGGTGGACCAGCCCCCTTTCTGGGTTTATCCACACCCTTTGGGCAGCATCACTAACATAATTTGAGTCACTTACCTGTCCCCTTCCTCCCCAGATGCTTATGTTGGTGGTATTCATACATTTTTTTTTTTTACTATGATCATCACAATTTCAGGTCCACATGAATTTAATTTTCATTGTATTCAGTTGATTCATTGGAGGTCTTTACATAACTTGAAACTAAGAAATAAAATAGATACCTCCAAATTTTCCATCTTATTTTCCTTTGAAAATACTCTATATACTCTTATATAACTTAGTTTCTTAAGCAGAAGTTTTCAATAAAAGCTGATATTTGTTTAGGAATGGCTTATTTAATAGTAGACTATGCCCAATTATTATTTTCCTAAAGAAGACAAATGTTTAGATACAGTGGATTAATTCTGAGATTTTATTAGTAATTATCAGTAAGTAAGAGGGATATCCTGCAAAAAATTAAAAAAAACATCTCTAAGTCAAAATTTTCATATTCGTCTTTGATGGTGGTAATTGATATGCTGGGTATGTTGCAACATGCTTAGTCATTTATGCAGTAGAATGCAGCTAAAGAATGTGACATAACTAAGGACAATCAAGGGTACATTTGGTAACAGGCAGAAGGAGTTCTGTTATACATACAGATTAATGGGCAGGGAGAATCATGCATGAATTAAAAGCAAAGCACAATCAAACAGAAAAAATTTTTTTATTTTTTTTTAAAGTGAATAAACATTAACCATTGGAATAAATATGCACATGATTACAATTTTGTTCACGTAATTGTTTATGGAAGTTTTGGGACATACATTGCTTAAATAAATATTTATGTGTATTTGTACAGTCCTGTTATTGATAAATATGCACTTTTTCCTCTGGATGACATTGTTGAGGATTTTTAGGATTGCACATATTCATGGAATGAGTATACATATATATATATATATATATCTGTATGTGAGATATATTAATAATGTCATCAGTGTACCTTGACAAAGATTCTCTGGTGGACAGGCTTGGATTAAGAGCCTCTAATGATGTGCTCACTCTGAAGACAGTTTCCTGATGTCTCCGAGCACTCACTCATTCACTCCTCTCCTTCCTTTCCCTGCTTACTAGCACGCAGAAGCTCCTGGTGTGCAGTCTGGGGCCAGGGCCGGTGTAGCTATAAGGAGGGACAGGCGGCTGTCTATGGTGCACCGGCTCGGGGAGCACAATCTTTAGGTGACCAGTAGGTAGGAAGCACACAGGAAGTGCTCACTGGGCACAACTAACAACTTCCTGTCAGACCGGGTAGAGGATACAGAAGATTTTCGACCGGATCTGTGCGGAGAAACTACAAAATAGAGGTAAACAGGCGAAAACAGGGAAGGGACCCCAAAGGGATGGAGGGAGGGTGGAAGAAACCGTGAAGAGACTGGGGTGTGTGAGGGGTAGAAGAAACTACAACGGGATGGGGGGAATCTTCATCAGGTAGAACATGCTGATGCAATTAAGACAATTAGCACATGGGAAAAAACTGTTTTGAACTGTACATGTGTACAAATATGATGTGATGTAACAGGTACCATAATTAATATTTCGGTTATACGTGATTCTTTTATCAAGTGGCCATATAGAGAGGTAAGCAAAAATATATAGACTGAACCTAATCTACACTCACAACGATGTGGCAATATATTGTAAAGGTGAGGAAGGTTTGCTGATGTCACAAATTATGGACACTTTTTTGGATCGCTCCACAAGATGGCCTGTTCCAGCTGTTCTAATTTTTCTTATAGGTGATTTATGGTTAGTTTACATCTGTTCTTTTTATTGCATTGCTTAAAAAAAATGTTCATGTGCCTTTGTGAATTATTCCCTACAATTGTTTTGATATGGTCAGAGATGGTCCTGGTTAGATTTGTGAGATCGAATAGTATTAGGAAAAGTGCACAAGAAGCTAAATTCTCTGATGTCCATTTTTTATTGCGGTGTGGGCAAACGTTACCCTCAGGTTTAAGTTCTCAGGATGAATTTGTTGGTTAATGGTATAAAAGGCAGTCAGGTCATCTAGAACCGACTGTCAATTTGATGATGTTAAATAAAGGTAAACAAAGTGTTAAGCTATTGGTTAATCATTGAAATTTATGGTCATTATACCCCATGAGCCTTAAACAAACACCACGGCCTAGCCCATTAAAATGTAACAATTAGATTCTGTTTTTATTGTGTGGTCCCTTTATTCAATATTTCTTTACTATGGCCTACCATGCTTATGAAATTGAGACATGAATATGTTTTAGACTTTGAGTGGAAGAAAAGTAAATTGAATATAGTGAGCCAGGTGTAAAAAACACGTCTATCTCTTTCAGTATGCTACTTTATTAATCATTAATGGTCTTCTGGGCACAAAAAGGGGAAGATTTGTATCATGCAAACATAACATATGGCATATGACAATGTAATATTTATTTTATTTAAATCCTTAGTGGATACATTTTCCAATTCTATGATCACGTTGCATTATGTATATAAACACATTTTTAAACAGCCCACTTATATTTCTAAAGAGGAAATTGTATATATAGATATGCAAGAAATGTAACAAGTGTAACAAGTAAATCAATTTAATTTCCACAATGGACAATCCGGGTTTGTCAAAGCTGTATCCGAATTCTTATTTAATAGAAAATCCCTCCTAGTTCATTCTATTTTCTCCATTGGATTGATGTCAAATATGGCCCGATACCCAAGTCTACATGAAGAACATTATGGCCCTTTTAAAGTCACTGTCTGATCCCAAAGTACACGGAGTATTCATCTGTGATATAAAAACTAGATGCTTAAAAAAAAATATCTGGATATTTTTGCATGTATGTGTGATATCCCTAAAGTAGATACATTTTGAGTATTAAAGAGTTACTCCACGTACCATCACCACTCAGTGATTTGGAGTGGTCATGGTGCCTGGTGGTCTGTATATTCAGTAACAATGGTAAACAGTTTGTAGCAATAACTTAGAACATCTGCCAAAGCTATTATATCATATGTTCAGAGTTTCAGAGTGAACATTCTTAGAAAGTCTTTCCAGTAACGCTCAGCAGGGGACAATTGGGGACAAAACAAACAGTTCTTTACCCAACGCTGTCTTTAGGAAAGCAGGGAAAAACACAATTTAGTAGACATTCAAATGAGCCAAACTTCAATTAGTAGAGTCCAAGCAGCAGCACAAAATCTCAGAGCAGAATATTTAATCATAAAGTGCAAGTCAGGTCATTTGCCTGAGTTAATTATGAAGCCCATGAAGCAATATCCAACGGGAGGCAGCCGAATCTGGAGCCAGAGAAATATAAACAGTCCGAATAACAAAGTCTTAGGATGATCCAGAGAGAGTGGTCAGATGAGCAATATCCGTGTCAATTACCAGCGATAATGAACAGACGGGCCTAGAGAGAAAAGTCAGAGGGGAAGAAATCAAAGTCATAAGTAAGGTTCCTGATCAGTAGTGGTGGGGCCCTGAGCACAGTGGGGTATGTGGAGAACATGAGGGTTATGGCCGACATGCACAACACAATAAGAGGACTCTGGAGAACCCGTAGGGTGGGTTTAAATTGCCTGTCTAAATTGCAGTACTCAAGTGTGTTGTTTTAAAGTAAAATTTAAAGTGAGCAACATATCAGAGTAACCTTAAAGGAGACCAGACTAATAAAAGGAAACATGTCATTCTGTGTCATGTGCTGAAACCCCCAGGTTGTGGTTCTCTTTTGTTATTACTTGCTCTCCCTCTAAATCTTCCTAGATATTAATATACTCCTGCACAGCTTTCCTGGAAATTCTAGATGGTGCCAGTGGCATTGGGGATGAGGGGGATTTAAGGGCTAGAGCCCCAGGTCATGGAAAGTAAAGCCCTGGGTTCCCAAGTAGATGCATTGTACCAGAAGCCCCAAGTCTCTGCTGGTACAGTATTTAATAGGAAATGTGTGGTGCTAGGCTTCAAGCAGCCATTTTCACTGCAGGTCTTCCTTGCAACCAGTCAGCCACAGTAACATGGCTGCAGCAGGCTGATACACACACTGAATTAGCCTGCTCTGTGACTGGCATGAAAATAGACTGAAAAGGAGGACCACGAACTGCTGAAGCAAGTAAGGTAAGTAATAGACTTTGAGAATTGTTTAATTTATAATAGCAATAGGACCGAATTTGGGCCGATTGGATAATCGTATAACCCCTTAACGCCGTTAGGGTGCTCTATGCAGTCCTACATAAGGTGGGCTTTAAAACCTATAGGGCGGCAGAGAACTCCATGCAATTTGGTTAAATTCCTGCTCACACCAGGGAGTCCCTGAGTCTCCCCTTTGTCAGCTAGGGCCATTTTAGTGGCCCCAGAGTTTTTAATGAGCTGCATGCAGTGCTTAAAGTCAGCATTGCATGTAGCCCTTTAAATCCATGCAGAGCTCTGCAGCTGAGTGATCAAGCTCAGTCATGGTGATTCTCTCACTGGATCTAGTGATTGGGATACTCAGAGGGTCTAAACCGACCATGGATGGTCTCCCTGTGTGCCAAAATGATGTTTTGATCAGTGCTGGGCTTTGCCAGTTTCCCAGCATCAATCTCAATGCATTGGGCATACTATTTTCAATGAAAAATATAGGAAGCTGTCTTACTGAAAATAGCCAGTAGATGGCAGCAACATACCACTCTTTTTAACTTAGATTTCCCTTTGCTAATATCAGTACTGGTGATAGCAAATGGACACTTTTGTGATTAGGATTAAATTAGGGATTAATTTTCAGAATAAACATTAGGTTTAGTATTAGGTTTATGTTTAGGATGGATTAAGAATTCATTTTAGTATTGGGAATAGGTTTCATGTTAAGGTTTAGATCAGGGTTTGGGTTAAGATAAGAGCCAGCAAGGGAATCCCTCTGCTGAAATCTGCAAGGGAATCCTTCTAATACTATAAACATAGAGTTAGGATTGATATTAGTATTAATTAATTGGGTTAGGTATAGAATTAGGGTACGGGTTAGGCTTAAGCCGAGGTTTATAATTTATTATTAGATTTATGGTTAGATTTTTGATTAGGATTTGGCCACGATTATGCCACATCCAAGACGGCTGCTCACTGCTGTTCACAAGACCCTAATCTTATTTCGACCCACCGTCTGCCACTTCAGACTCATTCAGTTGGTTGCGAGCTCTGATAGAGGACAGTCGCTTGTGAGAAACCTCTCATAGGAGGTCCTTCTCCTCTCCTACGCATAGCAACCACAGCTCATGTGCTACCGTTGCTACGGAAAATCCATAGCTGCGCCTAGATAATACAGTCCATATGCTGGCATGCTGGTATCATTTAGAAGGTTTGCCTGGGAAGTGTTTCCACCTACGACCAGACCAGAGGTGCGTGTTAAATAACGAACACCACTCACGAAACTGAGATAATGGCGAACTAGAATGAGGTATGGCGCATAAATCTCAGTATTTTACATTGACTACATTATGTTTCAGATAAGATGATGTATTTAGGACTGATTTAGCAAAAGTAAATTTTTACTGTACAGGTTCACTTTAATCCCCATAAACTCTGGAGATGTCCATTCTAACCTCTATAATTTCTATTACAACTAAGAAAGCTTCAGCACACTATACTGGAAGTTTAATAAATGCATTTTATGTATTGATCCTTCATTGATAAATGTAACACCATGAATTGTTTGTGAATAACACATATTGTAATCAATGTAATATTTGTAGAATTAAAATAGCTTTAATTATGACACACAAACAGAATTTCAATAAAATTAATTTTATTTGAAAATAAAACAACTCCAAACAGTTTGTTTGATTATTGATCAAACAGTTGAAGTTTTTTTCAACATCACAACTAAAATAAGATCCGCCACCAGGTGGAGCTGTTTCCTTCTGTCATGACTTAGAAAGGTTTTACATGAAAATCCTACAATATCTATTATAAAAATAATAGTAGCCTCATGAGTTTGTGGGGAACAATGCAAATTGCATTTAAATAAGCTTCATTCTACATCATAGAAATGAATAGAAAATCTCAAACATCTATATACAAAGCACATGCTAGTCTGTGTAGGAAAAGCACATGAAAGTCTATAAAAATAGACTTTGCTGCATGCACTATTATTATGGTATTATATATATAGCGCCAACAAATTCCACTGCACATTACAATGGGTGGACGAACAGACATGTAGTTGTAACCAGACAAGTTGGACACACAGGAACAGAGGGGTTAAGGGCCTTGCTCATTGAGCTTACATGCTAGAGGGAGTGGGGTAAAGTGACACAAAAGGTAAGGATAGAATTAGACTAATGAAATATGACAAATAAAACAATAGAATACTCACTCAATAACAGAAAGGCTGTCATTAGTTTTATTATGATACTATTTTTTTTAAAATGGTTTTATTTTTTTTAAGGAAAATTTGTAGGATATACGAAAAAACTGAAAAAAAAATACCAATATTGGTGAATCAACAAAAAGAAAAAAATAAGTAGTCAACAGAGCTCATTAGTAGTTCGTTGGCAAGCAGGAATGTTTAGCAACATTATGGAAATTGACAGTGAATATTTATCAAAAGGCTCAAAGAGACAATAATCAATCATTTGTATTAGTGTTGTAATGTTACAACCAGGTAATCCTCCGTGATTGATGTAATTTCCTCTATCTGCAAAAGTAATTCTAGCAAAAACATAATGTGGATAGCGTGTATTTAGTAGCAGCTCATCAATGTCCATCCATTAAATCCAATTAGCTGAAACCACTCTCCTCGAAATAAAATTAAAGGAAAAAATGTGCATCAATAAAAATGTTATACTTTCTTGGTAAACAAAAGCAAAAAAACTAAACAAAAATAGTAATAATAAAAATACATTGAGATCTGAATGGATATGAAAAACTAGATACAGTAATGGCTTCAACCCTTTGCTTTAAGTCCATGTGTTGGACTCACTATATAAATGCAGCAATTCATGCTGAGATTGTAGATAATCACGTCAGAGTGGCGTTGAAATGCCGCATGGGCTGTGTGTGTGTGGACTGTTTGCTGAATTATGTATATAATTATGGGCTGCGTGTTGTGACATGTATGTGTGCATGCTGTTTGTGGTATTAATGTGTGTTGAGCTGTCTGTGGTGTTATATGTATGTATGTGTGTATGTGAACTCTTAATGGTATTTTGTGTATATGTTGACTGAATTTCGTACGTGTGTGGGAAGTTTTAGTTTTTTTGTGCATAGGGATTGTCTGTGATATTAAGTGTGTGGGGGTGATTTTTTTGTGTTTTTGCTTTTTATGTGTATATGAACTGTTTGTAGTATTGTGCGTTTATGTGTGTGTTTATGTGGACTGGCTGTTGTATTTTGTATGTGTGTGGGCTGTCTATGATGTTAAATGTGTGTATGTAGGTTACTTGTAGTACTTGTATGTGTGGTCTGTGGCTTTGTGTGTGGGATGCTGCTTGCAGTGCTGTGTGTGTGTGGCTGTCTGTAGTGTTGTGTAGGGATTGTGTCACATCAATCTTGTCTACCTTTTGCCAGGTTGGGAGGTATTAATCCTCAATGATCCCCGTGGTCCGGTTGTTGTAGGTCACAGTTTGCACCTTCAGTGGGTGCAGACCACTTGTGTCTCTGCTTTGACACTTTTTGTGTGAAACAGAGCATTGCCGTGGTAACCCTTTGACTAAATCAACAAAGTGGAAAAATTATCTAAATCAACTATGCTTCCTATTCGGCTACTTTGGCCTTAAATTTGAAATTCACTTTGAATTTTCACTTAAGGGAATAACCCTGTGTGTGAATACCTCCCCTGACCTTGTGCAGCCTGTCCAATGTGTCAGGGGTTAGCATGCTGTGTGTGCAGACACCAGGTACAAAAGTTGTAGAAAACTGATATTGCCAGGCAGGAAGAGAGTATTCTATCTGATCGATTGAAAGCCCAGGGAGGCAGCTCTACTTATAGAAAAAAAAGTATAAAATGAAAGGATACAGGTGCAGGAACTTTAAACCGTAACAAATTTTTCTGCTGTGCACAAGTTTAAAGGGACAGTATAGTCACCAAAATTTTTTTAGCTTAACCAAGCAGTTTTGGTGTATAGATCATGCCCCTACATTCTCACTGCTCAACTCTCTGCCATTTAGTAGTTAAGTTACTTTGTTTATATAGCCCTAGGCACACCTCCCTGAAAGTAACATGCACAGCCATCCCAAACACTTCCTGTAAAGTGAGATCTAAACTTTACACTTCCTTTATTGCAAATTCTGTTTAATTTAGAATTTATTATCTGCTGCTCAGTTAAAAGCCTTCTAGACCTTGCAGGAGTCTCCTGTATGTGATTAAATTTCAATTTATAGAGCAGGAGGTAAAGACTACTAAAGTAATTTAACATCTGATTAACGTGTAAACCTTTTTTTCATGCAGGCTGTGTGAGTCACAGCCAGGCGAGGTGTGGCTAGGGTAGCAAAAGAGAAACAAAAGTGATTTAACTCCTAAATGGCAGAGACTTCAGAGGTATGATCTATACACTAAACTGCTTCATTAAGTTCTAGTTGTTTTGGTGACTATAGTGTCCCTTTAAATTATATGAAGTGGTTGATGGGGCCTTGAGTTACCCTTTAACACTGATCAGAAGAGGTAGCCAGTTTAATTCATTAGAAAATAAGACTTTGTTTTGTTGGAGTTGTCAGCAGATATTGTCGATTCTACATTACGTGATATCTAGTAAATTGTTTTAGACTGAAAATGCCACAACACAAACACAGTGATAATATATACAAAGCTTGTTAATCATTCTGCCGGGCAATATTTTTGTGTTTTTTTTTTTTATATAACATTGGTAAAAATGTCTCCTGATAATGTCTGATTTAGATCCATTTTCTAGGCAGCTTATTGTGGAACTTCTTTCACGGCAAGTCTCCTGAGTGTATAAACCTCTCAGAACGGATGAAGGTAGCCAAGAACAGTAGCCTATTGTCTATGTTATATATTGAATGTGTTGCTTAGAGAATGTTGAGTGATTAATAGGCTTTATCTTAACTGTATAATATGCTGATTAGAGTGGGATTAAACCTTGTTTTCACCCCATGATATTTTCCAGAACTATGAATACAGGGGATTGGGTCAAACGTGTTGTTATCTAAAATTATTTTTCACAATTAAGTGCAATCTTTGCATTAACCATGGCCTCCCTG